ACATAAAATAACCTCTTACTGTAAAACTACATTTTAATGTACATTTTTGCATAGTTATTAATTTTACTAATCATCAAATCCATATATCATAATTTCATTTTTTCCTGTTCCCCGCAACAAATCTAAAAGGGGCTTCCGATTAGCATTAAAGTTAGTTGAAGTTTTTTCTCCAAGCAAAGCTGTCAATTTCGCCATCCTTTCTTCCATTGCAGATAGTGTCAAATCTGTTCACGTTGAGCATATAAAAGTCTAGCTGCGGTTATCATCTATAAAAAAAGATGTGGTAGCTACCTGATCTGATGTCTCCCACTTGCGCTGGAAAAAAGAAATTGGCTAGAATTTTAGAATTTGGTGAAATGCAGCCTTGCTTAATTCCTGCACTTTCAAACTGATTCACCAACTGAATTTCAGCCCCCCTCCTGGGACCTCTGCAAAACAAAAAGCAATATATAAAACTTCATATTAGAGAAGGCGTGCATATATTAACAAAAATAAGGTGTAAAAATGTATTCAGTGAAGAAATGAAGCAAAAGGTGCTAACCGAAATACCTGTATTTAGAGAAATGTGATGCAGCTAAAAAAAACCGATTGCATTAGTTTGCTTGTAAGTACTGCATTAAATACAGAATGGGGTGAACCAAAGTTATCCATGGAAAAATGTAAAACCAGGAGATTATTTTTTTTAAAGATAAATAGCCAAAAATGAGAACTTGAGAAAAAAAAGAAAGTGATTGATTCCCACATTTGTAGTTGGGTGTTTCAGCCCTAACATAAAAGTAGTAAGTAAGAAGTAACAAAGTAAGTGACTGAGGGCAACATCTGTTTTAGCCTTGGTGACCTGTCCACTGAAGAAAGGCTATTGGGCTATTAGCTCCTTCAGAAAAGTTGAGGACTGAGCAAGTTGGAAAGGTGGCCATAATCTCATTGTCTGTCCTGATCCTCAGAATAAATGGTCCATTTGGCAGCTAGATGGCTCTATGAGTCCCACAAGCAGGGCTGAGATACAAGGTGGCATCCAGTTTGGGGTTGCCCCACCCAGTATATTAAGAAGCCTGTAGGTCAAGTGGGGATCTCAGTTTTAAGCACTAACGTAGAGCCAATATACTGAATTTCCTGGACTGGGAAGACCCAGAGCCCTTGGAGCTGGTCTCAGATTGTGACCTGCTCTTGTGTTCTCACATCCTTGTTGCTTTTGAGCAACTGAGTTGATTTGATTTAAGGCTTAGGAAGAATGGCAAAACATCCATTTTGGACGTTGCCATCAGGCCCTCTACAGAACTTGGAGGGGGTGGCAGTTTTCCACCAGTGGGATTTCCCCCCACGACTTGTCTTCTTTCATGCAGTTGCCGTAGCACCACGACATTCTCATGCCAGGTTTCCTAGCCAGGGTGAAAGATGGTCTCTAAACCTCTTCATAGGCCAGCATTGCTGGGGGTTTGGTACTCTCAGTGGTAACAGTGAATATTTTTAAAACTATATAAAATTACCAAAAAGGGCCTGTCATTCATGGTGGTGGGGTGTTTGAGAATATTCAATGCTATTGAAGATGTTTTTTAAGTTATTAAAGTTATTAAATCTGCATGACTCTCAGTATGAGTAATTTTGTTTATTGATAAGTCTAGCAGAAGAAACCACTTGACAGATGCAAACTTTTGCAAAAAGTGAAGCAGAAAATGCAGAGGATGGATTAGAATTTTGTATTCAATTTTCTATATATTGGTTTCTCCTTTGACAGCAGTATATTCACTGGAATTCTTGTATTGTAACCTTAATCTTCCTTCTGAGAAATAACACTAATCAGAGCTCTGAGAGATTCTTTTTCTCCCCCTTAGGTTAACCGTTTTCAGGTCAGGTTGCTAGGAGGGAACTCTGATAGCCACCACACAAAAGTAGATAATCTTGAAGTTACCTGATCTTTCTCTAGAGCAGTGTTTCTCAACCTTGGCAACTTTAAGATGCGTGGACTTCAACTCCCAGAATCCCCCAGCCAGCATGGGTTGGCTGGGGAATTC